GCCAATGCCAGCACTTTGAATTGAGCCCGGTAGCAAATCGGCAGCCAGTGGAGCTGGTGCAGCAGAGGAGTTTGGGAGTTGAACTTGGAGGATCAAGTGCCTTTGGGCAACTCCTGTTCTGCAAATGGTTCAGTCAACTTCACTTTTGTTCTTGTTTGGGAATACTTTGCCCTGTGGAACATCAAAAGATGTAGACCTCTAACCACCAGAAGCACTTAAGAGGTTACTTCTTTTGCATTACCAGAAAATGTGATTCTGCCAAAGAATTTCCTATACATGCCTATTCTATTTAATACAATGATACCTGTGCAACAACATGGCACTTTAATACAACATTTTGATCTCAAATATAATAAGCTTGAGCTCATATGTGTTCTGATCCTGGCCTGCCGGCTAGTATCTCGACATCTGGCAAACATTCCACTAGAAAAATGTGATCTTGTTTACTAGTTTTATGATCAAAGCAACCAAATGCTGTGTCCCAGTAATAACCAACCTGGATTTACTGGCAAAAGCTGATACATAGCAGCTACCAAGGGGTAATGTGGCAACAAATATAAAGAGTAACAATGGGGAGAACAAAATGAAAACACTACTTAAAGGATTCAAGTTGTCTGTAGCCACTTCCAAAAGCACAATAGAAGAAGACAGCTGTGATTTAGTTGAAGAACTGGCTACTCATTTTTAAACAAACAAAGCATTTCAAGCTGAAGTCTGAACTGCAGTTGTATAGGGTGCTAAAAGTGTTGTCTCAAAGTAAGTTCTTAAATCTAATGGGTTTTAAGTTTACAGCCATCCTGCATTATCTACTGCTTCATAACATTACTGACCAGAGTTAATGTCTGAATTTAGCTCAGAAAGTGAGAAATATAAATCAGGCTATATTTTTCCCTACAGCTTTCTTGGGAGCAGGGCAAAGTTCCAGCATCCATGTCACATTCTAGCCCTAATAGATAATCCACTAAATCCTTATAAGCCCATGTTAATACTAGAACATCTGCATATTTAAAAGCAGCTCCTCTCAATGTACTAATGATTCAAATTAAACCTACAAAACTCAAAACCGATGTAGGTTGTGCATTTGTTAGTGCTAAATAAATAAAACAAAACCTAATTCTGGTCAGAACATGGTTTCCTGGCCAAGCCAGGTATGACATTAAAAAACCCCAGACCTATTCAAGATCTGAAACTGGTTTTCTGGATAGGGATGGAAAGGAATCCAATGGAGAAAATGTGCTTTCACACCATTGCACATCAATTACTGGTTTAGCTGAATGAGGTCTTGTATCAGAGCAAAGGCAAGATGTGATTTTTTAAAAAATTACTGAAGCATGTATGTTTGGTTACATACCTAGTGTACCTAAGTGTTGAGAGCTGCTTTTGGATTCCAAGCAGTGGGATCTACTAAATGATATATAGCTATGTAAAAAGAATCAAAAGCCTCTTTCCCCAAACATCTTTTGTATTGCATTTTTCAGTTCCTAACATTTTATCTTCCCAACTGATGCAAAGTACTATTGCTAACAATTCTCCCACAAAGACACCAGTACCACTCAGAAGGATAAAATATTTTATTTATTTATAGTCTTATAGTAAAGGGAAGCCTTAACTTGCAAGACAATTCTTGAGCAGTATGTACAACATACTTCGGTTCCATGGAATAGACTCACACCTGGACAGAGACCAAGCTACATTTGTATACACTAAATTCAGAAAACATCACAAACAAGAGTGGGAAGAAGACAAAAATATAAGATCACACATATACACCCATACATGCATGCGCACGCCCATGCACATGCGCGTGCACATGCACACATACGCACAGAGGCCTTTGCTCACTCCACCCATGCCCCCAGAACCCACGTGGGAAACTGGCCCAGTTGCCAGGGGCAGAGGTCACACTTTGACGCCGTTATTAGTACCAAGTAACAAAGCTTGTGGTGTATTTACATTTAAAAAGCTGGCTCTATTTTTTTTTTTGAGAAATTCAAAAAGGGAAAAATTGTTCATGGGGAAAATTTGTTGCTTCATAAGACTAAGGTCCGCAGGAAGAGGAGGAATCTGACCAGATTGAGTTTCCATAGGAGGAAATAAATACCAATTAATCATTTGCCAAGATACAAAAAGGAAGTTCATCTCTTTGCTTCACCGTGAATCCTGCACTGTCACTTCAAACAAGAGGCATGTACACAGGTATCCTGTGCTCCCTCCCACCAAGAAATAAATCAAGATTGGTCAGGGAAAAATGCAACAGAGAGGCTGGTGTGGCTCTAGTGGAAGAATAGAGAGCTCCCTGTCCCYACCAGGCAATTACAGACTCATGGAGTTCATCAAATGSCCTGGGCATTCCTGGRACTAGAGATGTGCAACCACAGGGCAGGACGAGAGAAATCCSCATCCTGCTTCACACTACAGCTGCTGGGGTCTTCCTGAAGYTAAGCTGCCATGCCATAATATGGGTTWAACTCAAGAAGGGGCAGAAAGGGACAAGGAACAGGAAGAAATTGCAGTCCGAGAGCCTTTACTAAAGYGGAGGAAAGAGGAAAGTCCTTAAGCAGCCAGCAAGTGTCTAATGGCAGCGGGAAATCAGGCCTCTTCTAGCTGGCCTCCATACGAAGCTTCTTCCGGCTCTGGGGCTCTTCCAGCTCAGACTCTGAACTGGAGTCAGAGCCGCCATCAAAGGCGGAGATGGTGCTGCCCTTGGGGTTGGTGTAGAGGCTGTTGTCTGAAGAGGAATAGTTGGCCTGCAGCTGAGCACTTGACCTTGCCTTCTCCAGTGCACGAACTAAAATGCAAGACCAAGAATAAGGAAACAGACAGGAAAAGGCTGAGGTGACTCATAATGTTGCTGATAATAGGGGAAAATTATATATGTGCACTTCATTGACAGGGTCTTGTCAATATTAGATTTACATCCCACACTTGGAACACAAATATTTTAAAAAGTTATTAGCAAAGGAATAACACATTTTTGATGAACTGATAATTCAGTATCACTGCAGTGCAAATATCCATGCATAGACTAGGCTACACTGAGCCATATATCTTTTCCTCAACTTACTGATAAACCCAATACCACTGTGCACCACCGTTTCAAGT